AGAAAGTGAGACAACATAGGTACAACTTGGTGCAGGGAAAATTTGATCCTTTTCTTTCTTTCTTTTTCTTCTGGACAGGACAGCAACGCAAAAATAAATCTCGCGCGGCTCCGAGGAAGGGAAGGTGAATCGGTGTGGGTGACATGCTTGTCGCGTTCGCTTGCCACTTGGAGCCTGCCGGGTGCCGGTGTTTCATTTTTCCTGGTTCCTGGGGTCGTGGGGGTGCGTGTTTACCGGTATACCATAGGGTAGTACGGTAACTGCTATGGTATACAAGTATTACAGTTTATATACGACCTAACCACCAGGCTTAGACTACCGCATGGTATTGGAGATGCAGAGAATACAGAAGGTTACAAATTGGATAGCGGTAGTTGCGGGTATGTGCTCTGCCTCCACAATGGAAGCTCACGGCGATATGGGGTAATGCTCGAGTTTGACGAATACCGGTACTCGAGTAGTGTGTGGTGCCGGTATCATGAAGCGGGGGAAATGCTCGAGTACAGATAGATACATATTCGCACCTTGCCGCGAGCACTAGTACTCGGGCGTCAAACCAAACCAGCCATTGATTTCACAAAGGAGATTTCTGATTTGCTGCGGTGAAGAGATAGCGTGCAGTGGGGGTGGTGACCTGGGCGTGCACCATATGCAGGCAGGATTCAGATGGGCAGACATTCGCAAACAACGGTTACAGTACCGGTTACCGTGCGTTAGACTACCCTTTCGGTGATTGTTCTTTGAGGCGGCAGGCGAAAGAGCGCGTGACTAGAAGGGAAGGTATCTATTCCTCCCAACCTGGTGCCTTCGTTTGCATTTTAGAAAGCACAATCCAGTAATTGATACGGTAGCCTTCCCGCCCCACGCAGGAATGGAGTGAAATGGGGCGAACCATCCAGTCCCGCAAGGTGCGGTAAAGTGCAGAGTGCGTCGAGTGCTGCCTGAGCATGGAAGCAGCGCGGAGCTGTGAAAGGTAGGCCACGAGTACAGTGTCGTACTGCACCGCCATAGTGCGGTTACCAGGCGCGGACGCTTTCACTTTGGTTGCGTTTGAAGATGCTGAGTGGGAAGACGGGCGGTTCCGATGGGATGCAAAATTTTTTCTTCCCTCGTTTGAGTAATTCGTGCGGCCGGGACGACACGCGATTTGTGTGGTCATGGCACGACTGAATTGGGTGTGCGAATACAATATCTGACAAGGGGTTTTTTGTAAGCTGATACTTGTGGAGAGGAGAAAGCTCAAGCGTAAACCGTATCAGCATGCTGGTATGTTAGGGTCGTAGCGTGGGAAAAAACAGGGTGTTTCATGTGATATGCGGGATACAATAGTGGCTACCGGTATCAGTTGTGGGAGGAGGAGAAGAATAGAGAGACAAGCGGGGGAAAGGAAGTGGATAGCTTCGTGAAGCAAAAGCACCGTACTCGTATGGAGGAGGGAGGGAAAGGGGGGAGGAGGGAGGAGGACCTGGGGAGAAATAATTTAGAGTTGAGCTCCCATCGCTTAGCCCATCAATGAGGGCGGAGTTGCCGTTCCCAGTCCTGCTGGACATGGGCATTTGATGCGGGCGGTGACCGAAGCTAGGGATGTGGAAGTTACCCCGTAGTCCATAAAGAGGAGCGGCCGAACATCAGCGGCCCAAGGGCTCCTTTACGAGCACTCGAGTACCTGTAGAGCTTCTGGCTATCTTTTTTGTCAAGTCGAGATCTGACCACCCCACACCTTACAGGTATCCTTGTGCTCCACCGTTCATACCTGTCTCAGATGTACTGTGCTGTGCCCAACCAAATGTGTGATGCTCGAGTACCGTGATCTACTCGTAGCTGGTGCTATCCTGCATGCCGTGTATGAGTAGGGTAACTATCAGTCTATTCTTCTACTCGTACGGCATGATATATCATATCGTGAAAGCATCATCTACGGTACTCGGGTGCCGGTACAGCGCAGTGCAACTCTAGACTACCACCACATAGGCATTGTAAGAATCTATCCACACCCCCCCCCCCCAATTAGCCAAAGTAATAGTTGGAACCCATAAAGTAGCTTAAGGGTTTGCTCCCTTCTCTTTCCCGACTTGACTCCCCTACCCCTTCTCTTGTCCTTTCTTCCTTTCCACATAGACCCTCGCCTTAGCCCATCAAGCAAGTCAGGGGAAAAGAAGCGGCTGGAGTAACACCAACTGAGTGGAGGCAGCGCTCATCACTGGGAAACATTCAATTCAACAGTCTACAGGCATCGAGGCAGCGAAGACATTGAGAATTGCGGGTTACAGCTGTGCTTCGGTTGTTACGATTTTTCGGTGTTACTCGTGTGTACTGTACAGTACAGTACGGTTGATATCTATCCCTCCCCCCCTCTCTCTACCCTTCTTCGGTGCTGTCGTTGTCTCCGTGTCATCACTCTCCTCCCCTCACAGTACAGTACCCGTAATACCGGTTGTCGTGTTGAACTTCCTCATCCCATATCCCATCTCTCCTTGTCCATCTCTCCCCCCCCAACCGCCATCTTTTGTATACTTTTTTTCTCGCTCGGCTGTTGGTTCTGCATCCGCGTCTGTCCCTCATTCAAGGTACGTGTTGTCCGCCCTTCTCACCTTCGACTCCGCCTGTTTGCTGCATAGTGCTTTATATGCGATATCGTTCCTACTGGTACTGCTTGCTTGCTGCGCTTCTTGATCCGTTCATCCATCTGCCATACCGGTATACATTTATCCATCACTCTCCCCAATCACCCCTCAAATTCTTGATCAGCTCCTCTTCTTACGCCACTCAACTCCCTGCTTTGTACGATCAACCTGTTATTGATGGTTTAACTTTCTGTGCGCTTTTGCCTAACTTGCTTTCAATTGCGGGTGATATAGAGTATTGCTCCTCGGGCTCCGAGAGCGTGTTTCCTCCTTCTGATATCTTCTCTGGAAAACCTCCCCTTATCTTGTGCTGTTTGTTGTGCCGCTTGGAGCAACCAAGAGTGGAGTTCTTCTATCGTTCATAGACTTGTCTACATCACCCATCCATCACCGCAACCCTATCGACGTGCTCCGGGAAAAGATTGTTATCCTGCCTATCTGGCACCACACGCTCTGGTTGCCCATTGGAAAAACGGGAAAACGCAGCAGTAATAATCCGCAAAGTCGAGCAGAGACGGCGCTTTCATACCGCACAATCCCCTCTTTTGTGTCTCTCGAAGTTTCGAACCGTCGGGATTGCGACCGCGGCTCTTTTTTTCCCCACCCCCCTTCAACCGTGTCCGTTGGATAAGGGCCGATAAAACTTGCGGAAGAATTAGGATTTTCCCTTACTTGTACACCCTCTGCCGACGTTTCACAGGGTAACATAGGGATTTTTTTCCTCTTTTGTTTTCTTTTCTTGTTTTGACCAGTTGGTTCGAGGGAAAACCCGGATCTGCCCTCTTTCTCTCTATTTCTACCATACTATCATACATCCTTCACTTTTCTACTGCTTTTCTGAAAGGTGTCCAAATCATTTCTTGCATTGAATCCGAATCTCGATCAGGTTTCTATCAACTTAATTCCTTCTGCTGCTGGTGTTTTCCTTCCGTAAGGGGAACAACAGTCAAAAAAAGCAAGTGTAAATCCCCTAACAGGTCGCTTTTCCCTTGGCCCCGTTTGCAAGGCTGACAAAGCTAGACCCTTTTGTTGCCTGGTCCCTATGGTAGTTACATTCCTTCTTGTTACGCACGACGATTGACCATCCCTACAGTACCCACAAACGGCCGCCTGCCCCGCAAGGAATCTCTTACAAGAAACTGCGACACACCCTTTTCCGACCAGCGTCATCCGTGTGCCTAATTGGGAAGATCCTCTGCTGGTGATTGGATAGGTAGGTTCGCCCTGGGTGCTGTTTTTATTTTTTTAAAAAATTTACGCCTCAAGATTTCGACAAACTACTTTCGTCATTGCGATTACCCCTCCTACTTGGATCCTTTTTTTTTTACATTTTTTAAAACACAAAATTTCGTTGGTTTCTTTCTGACATGTTGGTGTGGTTGGCAGAAACAATCTTTTGTTCCCATCCCGGCGGATCCCATTTGTGACACAAACCCTGCCTTCTACCCCAGATTTGCTCTGGCTTATTATCAGGGCTCCTCCCGCTTGTTTTCGGTAGGCAGCTGGCTGAAAAGTTCTACGGAGTTTAATCTTCAACACCAGGCTTTTCGGACCAGAGAAGAACAAGAGCAACGATAAAAAAATTTGCACGCCGATCACACAGACACTCGAATAAACTTTTGCTTCGCATCCGATCTACGGCATACAAACACCGGAAGCCGTTGCAATGCCTCTAAACCCCCTCCAAAACGCTGTCCCGAAACAGCAGATTCCAAAAGAGGCGCCATCCTACTTTTCACCATTTTTCCCACAAGCTCCGAAAGCTACTGAAGAGATTTCCATCTGGAAGCCTCCTCCAACAGCTAACGAGCCATACTTTCGATCCAAGGCGCCGAAGAACCAGCCGAGCACACCTCGCCAGATCCCTACTGTCGGCGCTGCCTCCGTCTACCCTTCCAAACAGAATAGTTTCTCTAGGAGCAAAAATAATAGCATTGATGATGGAAGAGCACAGTTGTACCAGCCCAAGGTGAATAAGAGCTTGGATGAGATTATGTGGTTGGGGTCTGTTTCGGGATTCCCCGTGCCAGCTCCTCCACCGCCGAGAATCGAGCCAACCATCCGGACTAAGCTCGCTAGGAAGCCAGAGGCGAAATCGAGCGCGGCTTGCTTGAATACCAATGGGTATGTCACGCAGGGGAATCTTCCGTTTAAGGATACAAGGACGGAGGAACAGAAGAAGGCAGACGAGGAGGCGGAGAGGAAAAGGAAGGAGGACGAAGAGGCTAGGAGAAAGCGATTGGCGGCACACTCTAAGAAGGCCGGTGAGGTTAAAAATAACCAGGGAGAACCACGAGTTAGACCGTCTGGCCGAAGAGGGAAGGTGTTTTTGCCCATTCCTTTACCACAGGAAACGGCCCAGAGGAGCAATCGTCCAAATGCCAACCACAGACCCAACCTTCCGGAGAACAATACCAGTTATGCGCCCTCTCACCCATTCCTTCCTCAACCAATCGAGACCACTCGCAGAAGCAATAGGCGTTCTGAAAAGCTGAAAGCGGGGAGTGACGAGAGTGTCTGGATGGGACTTCCCCAGCCGATTGAGACTGTGAGAAGGAGCAATAGGAAGGGCCCTCTGGGGAGCAGAGGAGGCGGAGGGAGTTCGGACAACAAGGATGGAAAGGGCGATACCAAGCCCGTCTCTACAGAGATACTGCCAGAGCCAATAGAGTCTTCGCGGAGATCTCATCGCCCCCGAAAGTCGGAGGAGTCGGCTCTACCTCAACCAGAAGAAACTACCAGGAGGTCTAACCGGCCAACGGCAGCCCCTGTATCGAGAGCTGGACAGGATCCACCAACCCCGACAACCTCCTTCTTCGGTCCTAATATTGTCCCTCAGCCTTACGAGACCACAAGGCGCTCTTACAGGCCTATCTCAGCGCGACCCTTAATTCCCCAGCCTATTGAGACTTCTCGGCGATCCAATCGCGTTCGGGTACCTCAGCCAGAAATGCACCTGGAGATCGAGGCACAAGATACCCCGCAACCCGTGGCACTTTCCAGCCATAGTGGTCACCGCTACTTGCGGAGAAATAGTACCACTAAGCCCAACACCCCAGGCCTGCACCCTGCATCAGGCGCTTTTGTGAGAGACCGGGGAAGGGAGAGACGCCTTGTGAAAAAAGTTTGTGCTCGCCCTAGTGATCACGTTTCGCATCTTCACGAGCCTGTCGACTCTGTGCCTCCGAGTCCGGTCGATAGCCCGGAACAGTCTAGATGCCCTAGTCTTAGCACTTCACCTACTTCATCTGCAGCTAGCTCTACATGGGAGGTTTCTAATAAGTTGAACAAAACTATTGGCGCCAAGGCTGTCAGGCGGGGTTCCGGGAAGGACGGATTTGGTCCATACATTCTCAGCTTGGAGAAAGGTCTCCAAAAAGAGGGGGCTGTCGGGGGTGCAGGGATCAAGCGCGAACATGCGAAAGAGGAGGTAGAATACCCCTTTCCGGTTGTTACCGAGGATAAGGGTCGTGAGGACAAAAAGCCCAAGGTTGCAACGGACGGTAGCGGGATTAGAAGCGAGAGATCCGAAACTGTCCGTCCTAAGTTTACCTCCGCCATCACAGATGGCGTATTGGAGATCAAACATCCCCAACCGAGGCAGGCTTCTGACGAAAGGGTAACAGATGATTATCCCATCTGTCATTCTCCAGTACATGGAAAATTCACGGTTCCCTGGGGAAAGAAGGAGGAACTGATTGAGGAGCGCGGTGGATTCGACAGCTCTTGCATTCCGACCTACGAACTTGATGGCCCCCCGCCCCTCAATATCAGCGCTATGAACGTGAATACCCAGCTTCCAACTCCGCCAGACTCCCTTCCATCATCCGTGTCGGGCAAGCAATTCCTTGGGGGCCCGAGAACAACACCCTCTCGCGTGATCTACACTCCAATGGCCCCCTCTCCTGGGTACACCGTCGCATCTCTTCCCCCTCGACGAAAAGAAGATAACGGTGTCAAAGTCACGGAAGAGTTTGTCGACGCTGTGATGGTATACTTGAGCTTGAACTACGAATCTATCGCAGCAAAGTACGATGCGGAGCTTGCGGTCTATACCGATTCGTCGGAAGCCCAGGTCAAGGCGGACAGGAAGGGTGTTGTTAGGAAGTACATTGAGCGTTGGATCTCTGAGAATCCGGAAATGGCATCCGGTGAAGGCAGAAAGGGTGGTTTCTGGTAGCCTAGTCTTTTCAAAAAGGAAGAAAGAGAAAAAAAAGGCTTTTTGTTTTTCCCTCTTGAAGTGGGGGAGGGAGTTTTTTGTGTGATTTGTGTTTCATCTTGTACTCTTAAATTCTGTTACTGCTCTTTTGGCAGTTACATTACATGATCCGGTGCGGGGGTATACGTTTAGTTAGTGTCTTGCCTGCTTGCGATGGTTTTTTTTCCCTCACTTTTTCTTACAGTAAAGTGGAAGTGAAAACCGGCCAAGCTCTGCCCTTCCCCACACGAAAACCATCAAAAATTTCGCCAAGGCCCATATAATACCAATAGTAGTACCTCCCCCGATACTGTAGATTCCTCAGCCACTGGAGACAGAGTTCTAAAGATATTTCGAAAGTATCATAAGATCCGGAGAAATCACTTCACAATGACGAATTCGGATTGGATCGCTTTCACCGGATCAAGCATTTATTTGGAAGGCCCGTGAGAAAATCCCTGCACCGCTGATCACCATTTTCGACGCCGGCCTCGCACAATATTGCGGATTCGTAGATATGATATATGATACGATAAGAACGGGTTGCCCGAATACTTCCCCCCCCCCCCTAATCACCCTGGCAGATAAACCCGAATGAGAAACCTCCCAGTACGGTAGATTTTTTACCGGTACCCTACTCGAATTGGATTTGTGACAACTGGACCGATCACCGCTCGTCTCTCACAACACCAACCAATCAGCATGTCTCCGGCTGTCTGATGATTACTCGAGTAGTTTGACTTGGGGGGATTTTTCGTGTCTGTTGAGTAGGTTGCGCATTGTGGATGCAGATAGGAGATCTATCAAATCGGCGGCGCTAGATTTGGATTTGGAAGCGGGAGTTGAGGTTCCGCATGTGTCTGGTCATGAGGTGTCACTCGTATTGTGTCCGTCGGGGGTGAAATTCGAAGTCAACCCATAGCATTCTCATACTACCACCGGAACAAGAAAAGAATCGTGACAAGAAGAGCCAACATATATGTAACACAAATTTCCCAGTCCAGCGCAGCCATCATTCCGTACCAGCCTCCATTTACATACAAGCCACCCATTGCATATTATAGAGCATTCCAGACGAACAGTGGGAATGGTAAACTGCAGAGGGGTGAACTGAGGCTAGAGACGGTGGAGTTTGGATTCGCTGTTCTGTTATGTTTCATTTACTTCTTTAGAAAGGTTTTTTTTTTTTTTTTTTTTTTGCTATACGGGAGGTTTGTTCCGCATTATCGTTCGAGGGGTCATCTCATAACCGCTCTGATAATTGTCTAACTTGTACATCTGGTTGTGGCTGGTCTTTGGTTTGGCGCTGGAGTATCATCTGATACATACTGCACCGGCAGCAGACGCCTGCATGGACCGTTGTGGCCGTTGAGAGAATGCTATGATATGTCTATGCTTTTAATGGGATTTGTCTGAGGGTATGGTTATGGTATGATACTCTAGTTGAAACCCCAAGAAAATAAAAAGAGGAAAAGAAAGAAAGAAAGAAAGAAAGAAAAAAGAAAACCGCCCAACTCCGAAGCTCATGCACGTGTGTTACGTCTAGTATGATAAAATGAAAGTGAAAATTGGGATCCCTAACGCCAAACCCCTCTAATACACCCCCCCACCCTTCCTCCTCACCGCACTGACTAGCAATTCCTCAATCCCCTCTCTCCCCTGAGCCCTATCCTGCCGCGTATGTCGGGCCATGACCCCAATATAATTCTGCGCGGAGACATCAGCTCCGCGGTCGAGCAGTAGATGGACCATGTCCCGAAAGCCATGTCGAACAGCTCTGTGCAGCGGCGTCTCCCCCTCCATATCCCTCTCCTCGACAAACCTGTCCGCACCATTCGCCAAGAGCAATTTCAAAACGCCCCAACTCCCGCCAGCGGCGGCGAGGTGAAGGACGGTCATGTCGTAGTACCCGCGGAGATCGACCCTGGCTCCGCGGCTCAGGAGCAGCTGGACCACCTCCTCGGCGCCGGCATCGATGGCCTTGTGCAGGGCGGTCTCGTTCCAGTAGAAGCTCTGGGCGTCGATATCGGCTCCGCGGTCGAGCAGGGTTCCGGTGATCTTGGCACCGGCTGTGGTAGCGAGGTGCAGGGGCGTGTTGCCGTGGGTGTCCCGGATGGAGACGTCCGCGCCGGCGGAGAGGAGGAGGTTCACTGTGCTCTCGTGCTCGTTGTGGCAGGCTTCGTGCAGAGGGGTGCGCAGTAGGTTACCGGCTTGGAGGTTTACGTCAGTGCCCTTTTCAAGGAGGAGCTTGACGAGGGTGTCCTGGCCCCTCGCTGCGGCCCAGAGAAGGACGGTGTTGTCGCGCAGAGCGTGCTTGTGCAGGAGGGGGGTGAAGAGGGTTGCTAGGTCGCTGTTGGTCTCTAGGAAACGTTTCAGGTCCTTGGTGTTTAGGTCTTCAGCTACTAGCAAGAGGAGTTCGTTCGGGAAGCTGAGGAGGGACATTTGTTGTAAGCTGGGGAATATGTCGTGGAATCAAAGGATAAAAGAAAGTTCCGGGTAGGAAAAAGAGGGGTGCCCGGAGATCGAAGAGGGGGGGCCCGAGGCCTGTTCTTTAGTATAACAAACCCTGCAGGGTGGCGACATGAATTATTCTACGCTATTTGAACAGAAAACGTGCAAACACACCCCCACCCTCTCCAAACTTGCATTCATGCAGGGCATGTTCACATCCCTCGTGGGAAATAGGAAGGAAGCAAAGAACGTGTTCCATGAGTTTTCTCCGAAAGGGACTCCACGTTCTAGAAGAGTTTACTCGGGTCCGCGGTACCGTACCTTCCACCAACGAGTGATCTCATCAAGACCCTTTTTTCCCTTGCAGGGAGTGTATCACCTTCCCACTCTCTGGGAGGGGAAAAAGTGAGTGTCGCCTACATATCATATGCCTTCCTTCACTGCAGTAACAGTGGCAAGCTCGTGCTGGGTGGGGGGGGGGAACCAGTAGCTCCGCATCTCGAGGGTTGGCATATTGTTAAGAGAGAGATGCTGTCGACTGCCGTGTGATCCCGGAGAGCCAATAATGGGACGAGACTCGCATTTATCCTGTTCGTTTTGGGCGTCAGCTTCTCTGTTGGATTATTTATGCTGTTACCCACAGACGCGGGATCATGCGACATCAATCGGTGGACTGCAGAAGGTGCTCCTGGTTTGGTGGGGAGAAAGAGGGGCCAAAAAAGCAACAAAACTAGAAGGTTTGGATCCGGAAAAATTCAACCGGTTTCGTTGAATGAAGTTACAAGGAAAATCAAAGGAATGGAAAATACACTGCCCTAAAGTCTCCTGGGACACAATTTTTTTGGATTTTCCTAGACCATTGGGACGGAGAAGTGATCAATGCTCTCCTTGCGGCGTTGTGGAGCCTACCGGTACCGCGAGAAGGGGTTTTCACGGGCAAGAGTATATTGCAATAGACCCCAAATGCCCCACTTTGTGTAATCAGCGGATAAAAGTCTGCGGGGATCTCCCAGACACCCAGCTATTTCCCAAAGCTCCCTCAAACACCGCTACAGCAAAATCCGTACAACAGCGGTCACCCGAGGGTCCCCACATTTTCGGGCGCCTCCCCGCCGGGCAGTCAGTACTATGGCGTTCGAGGGGCAAGCATACAGAGTGCACCACACGATGCGGTGTGATGTTGTACGGCGACATACCTTGAGCCCGGGGAAGTTAATTTATTAGCGCTTTCTGCAAGATGGGCTGTTATGCAGAAGGAAGATATTACTAGTCATCGGACTTTATACTGTGAGATGCCATTTTCTGGTATTGTACCTTACAGCTGTAACACATTGCACCTTATCAATCCACGTTATCAACCATTTGCCATACCGGTATTCGAACGTTCTGTATTCCTAGAGCACTGCTCGATTGAGCTTTGCCTGGTCCTGCGTGATGGCTCAGGGCCGGCGGCAGGTGGTTGGTGGATTTTGGAACTATCGTAGAGGGGGATACGGAGTCGGTACGTGCTCCCTCTCCCTGCAATCGCGGGATGGGCGCGGGGAGTGGTGAGGTTTGCACCATAGGAGAAAGTGCGAGGAATTCTTGGCGTTTTCCTCTTAGTTGCTGATCAGCGAGTGATTTTGTGTGAGAGGGTGGGTCGGGTGTCTGGGTGGGGGAAGTATGATAATATTATGATAATTATTATCATAATAATATATAGTCAAATATTCGCGCTCGGGGAGCTGTAGAAGCGTCGGTGGCGGGTGCTCAATTTGATACGCTATTCACCTCACTCAACCCCAATAATGTAAATAACTGCCAGCTCCTTGGGGAAAAAATGAAATGAAAAACAAAAACAAAAAACACTACCATTAAAAGAGTTTGAAAGCAAGAGGGAAGAAACGGGAAAAACAGAACTAAAGTACATCTCGTGCCTACCCCACCCTCTCTACAAATATGCTATCAGGCTTAGATAGGACGAACCAAAAAGACTTTAGTATCAACAATCTCAATGCACAACCCTCCATTACCACCCGCGTTCAAGACATTCCCGTCCGTAGAAATCTTCGCTGTCTGTGCCGTCTCAAACACGATCTTTCCTCCGGGAGGGCACCTGAAGGAGTTTATATTTCCGAGGGCGCCCTGGGGCGCCTTTTCGTTCCCGAACCCACTGCCGTACAGGAACTTGAACGAGTCCTTTTCGAAACCGATGGGCGTCAAATTCGAGATGGCGACACCCACGACCTCGTCCCTAGGCGGCTTTGTTTTCCACGTGGTATTGAGGCTGACGTCCTTGCCCTTATCCTTCAAGCTCCAGACGGAGTAGACCACCTCTGGGGCGATATTATCACCGTCATTGGTGATGATGTGGAAGGTGCAGTTCTTGTCCTCGAACCCGGATGGGAAATCGAAGGCGGTGAGGGTTACCTCCTCGGTTAGGTTCGGCAAGTTGAAGCCGACGCGGAAGATGTTGAATGACTGCGAGGGGACTTGGTCCGGTTTGCGCTCATCCAGGACGAGGTTCAATCCCGTTACCACGAGGTTGCCGCTCGGGAGGAATGGAGGGCAAAGGTCGCCGCTCGGGGTTTTGCGGCAATCGTCGTTGTATGACACGCCCGGGGTGAAGGCTAGTTTAGGATTTACCGGCACCTCGCCGGAAGATTGGGCGGCGACACTGGAGACTGCGCAGA